CGCGGCAAATCTTCTTCCATCAGTGCTGTTCAGTCTTGAGTGGTCCACTGAGGCAGGAAAACAACCTGTTCGGTCCTTCCATACGAGAAACAGAAATTGAACATGTTCCAGGGTGGAGGTGGCGAGCATCGGCAATGTAATGCACCTTTAGGCCAACACGACCATCATTCCGACATGGATTCTCAAACACCTTCGCTCGTGAGAGTGCCTCAGAGTGGTATTCATCAACAGATGGCAATCCTGTAAAACACATGAAAAGACATAGCAGCAACACAAAGAAACCTAATGTTATAGAAACGAATTCGAAAGTCTACTGAACCAAGGTACAACCACACTCCAGGAGGCAAGCAAAAGTGCATATAATCCGAAGGTTGCGATGCCTGTATGTATTGTATTCATTGATTCATGGATTCTCCACAGGCCTTAGCCTAAATCGAGGGAGTCTCTGTCATGCCACACTGGATACAACATGCTACCAGAATCACTTTCCCCAGTATTGATGATCTTTTCTTAGGGTGTTATATAAAACACATCTGTAGCCACTTCATCTTGCTCACAAAATGATACACCACCACACAAACGGGCCCTTCGGCTATTATAATTTGGGTGGTGATGTATGATATTGATAATCTATTGATACTAGGGCTGAAACAATTATATCGGTTATCCGTCTAATCGATCATTACAAGGAAACGATTTCGATTACGCTGTCTGTTTCGATTACGCGATTCTAAAAAAAAGAAACGTCTGCAAGAATCAAAAGATGTCATGTACAGCACTACTAGATACTGTACTTTGTCCTTTTCCTCGTTTCTTTTTGTTGTCCATATGTTTTCCAGTAGGGCTGTGAAAAATAAAAAATAAAAAACTGACTGTCTGCACCTGCACGTGATGTGCCACTGCATTGCGTAGAGTACGCGGTTTATCTGCACGTGTGTATGTACATGTATATGTGTATATTTCAACACGGCATGCTTTGTGCTGGTCTGGCGCGACAATTTCTAGGACGCAGTAATCAATAATCATAATCGATAATCGAATCGATACAAGGGTAGGTTAACCGATAGTTGAAAAGTGTAATCGTTTCACCCCTAATTGATACCATATCCAAGTCTGACTCTCACCGTGAGATCCTGGCAACAATATTACCTGGTACATGACATATTCAGACACTGACGTAAGCATCTTTTTGGAACAACACGTGTGCCTATCTGCTAGTGTAATGTGACACACATGCAGAATCAGTCATAGCTAATTTTACCCCCTCACTGTTGTATGCGCAGACTCCACTTTGCGGTGTCAAGTACTCTTCTTTCGGTGGGCTACTTCACTAAGGCGCTTGTCTAAAAGGACTCGCGTTCATCCTGCAAACCTACACGACTTGCATAATTTTCACTGTCAGCCGAAGTCCATGCATTGCACACATTGAGATTCACTCCCTCCGTACAGGCCAGTACAGAGCTGCCCACCAATTGAGTCTGTTTTGCGTACTCAGACTTCTGATTTTCCGTATCTTGCAGTGTTTTGCGTACTGCCGTGTACATTGCATGCATACTTGCACTATAAAGTTTTTTGACACGCACATGCATGTCGTAGGCTGCATTTGGTAGTGTAAAACATGTGTGACTTGCACTCACGACATTATTTTTTGTGCTACATGTACATGTTGTCGTGGTACGGCATGCACTCACTTTGGTACAAGACTATTCATCGCTCAGCTTACACTTGCAATGCTTCTACACAGCTGATTGATCCTCTTCGATTTTCTGTACCATTTGCCCAAATTCTGTAGTGCGAACAAGGAGTGATTTTCCGCACAAATACAGAAAAATATTTTCATTTTTTGTCAGTCATTTTCACGACATATTTTCTTTATCATGATCCCCGGGCCCGCGGGGTGTACGTGTGGCATTCTTACGAACGCGGAAACGCAGTCTTTCTAACCGAGTCTCACGTGCACTGTGAATTTGTTCTTCTTTTATTCACAATGCCATGTATCGATTCATCGCTTCTTCGCACCTGAGATCCTGTGCAAAAGCGATTTAAAGATTAGCTTTATCAAATAGTGATCAGAGAGAGAGAGAGAGAGGATCAGTTGTGGGTGCTGTGACAGCATAGAGTGTAGATTGGTGCAAACATCATTGCCCAGCAGAACCGTATTCATAATCATAGGGACCTGCGTTAAGCATTACATTTTGGAAGCTATTTTTTAGAATTTTTACAGGCCCAATAAGCCTGAAGAGAAGAACACTTAACTTAGACTGTCCTAACGTTATCGAACGCACTGCCAAAGTAAAAAAAAACATTTGAAATGCAAGCTCCATTGTGCATGCATGGAGGGCACATGGGGAAGAGACTGAGAGGGTGAAAGTGAAAGTGAAGGAAATTTGTTCCGAAATCAAGAGAATCCGAGGAACCCTTGCTGCATTCTTCAGTTCGATAACGTCAGTGGGTGCATCTCAGATGTGTTGTGTGCCCAGACATACAAGTAGCACTAACCTGAGCATGAGAGCTGCTTGTCATCATCGTGGTCAGGAAAACGAAAGGACGAACGAAGAAGATTGCTGACCATAACGAACAACAGTGCATATCCAGACGACAGACGGCTTGCCAGAATCAGTCTGGTGCATCTTCAGGAATCTTCTTTCCTAATCGCATTCAGCAGTCAGCTTCGAGGTCAAGAGCGCGATGATATTTTCAGAAGGAATAATTTTCAATTTTTTTTAAATTTTGGAGAAGAAGCTTCCTTTCTAAAAAAAAAGCGTTCCTTGCTTTCACGCAAGGTGCCTTGCGGGACATGTCGTCGACAGCACAGTGTTGGCAGATCCACGTTTGTAGGCTGCAGACCCGGCAGACGTTTTGATCAGCCCGGCCTGGTGGTGAGATTTTGGACCCGGGAGTACTAAAAACTGCTCGCATCCCAGGGTGCTCAGTTTCGCTCTATCCGATCGAGTAAGGCTTCCAGAAAGGCCCTCAGGTGCGCGGCCTGCGGTGCCATAATATACCTCCAGCTTCAAACTGCCGTAGTGTGACCGAGGCCTAACCGGGCAGCTCTGAAATTTGGCATACCGTTAGCGGGCCGTATGTTGATGGTATTTGTGAAAACTAAACGAAATCGGAACAAGTTTAGGTACAATTTCAGGCTGTTTCTGTTTTGGTACCTTGTGTCTCATTCGAGCACCCGGGTCTACGCCTCGACCGTTCCTGGCATTACATTAATTTTTAAAAGTCGTTGCTGTCTTTCTCCGAGGTCACTGGATTACTGTGATTACCGCTAGTATCATGAGTATGGGTGCTGGAATATGCCGCGTCCCTGCCCTTCTGAGTTGATGCTGCGTGTGCGGTTGAACCGTTGTAAGTAAATCATGCTGTGAGTGTGAGTGGTGGGGATGTCTCCGTAAGTGTCTGTGGAATCTACCCCAGCCCCAACCACCTTGGGACTTGGTGGTGGCGATGGCTTATTTCTAAGGGTAAGCTACTGGCAGTTTTGGATGACGTTCTCCTGGAAGGCACAGGGTGTTGTTTTGGTTCGGGCTATTTGCCACTGATTTGGCCTTGGACTTCAACCAGGCACAGTTGCAATACCTCCTTCCGCTGGCCACTGCATTATTGTCATGAGCGTGAACAACAGACAGGCACTACTCTCCGTAGTTACTGGCAGCACCTGTGGTGTGCCCCAAGGCTCCGTCCTGGGGCCTGTTCTCTTTAAAGGGGAAGTTAAGGCAAAAATCAAAATCTCACCAGTTGTAGTCTTCGGGGTTCTGAGTCGAATGGTCGTGGTCCGAGGAAGCGGAGACGCTCCCTTCCTACTTTAATCCCAATCGAACTCGCGCACTTCCACCGAAACTGGGTGACTGCGCCCTACGAGATGGGGATTTGTATGCAAAATGTCACTAAAAGCGCCATTTCGTTCTTATAAAAGCACGGATGACCGCGATTGGCCCATATGTTGTAGTCTTTTGGACGCTGAGTCGACTGGTTTTGGTCCGAAAAGGCTGCGATGCAGCGTTCCTCCTTTATTCCCAATCGAACATGGTTGAACAAGCGGTCACGTGCTCCTGGGTGCCCAAATCACCTGGTCACCACGCTAGCAGGCGACAACTTTCACACCAAGGTTCAACTCGAGTTCAACTCGAGTGACAGGAGTGCACCCAAAAAAGGTCAAACAGGCTAGTAAGTTGTACCCTGCAGGCACGGTGACCAGGTGACTGGTGTACGCAGGAGCACGTGACCGCTTGTTCAACCATGTTCGATTGGGAATAAAGGAGGAACGCTGCATCGCAGCCTTTTCGGACCAAAACCAGTCGACTCAGCGTCCAAAAGACTACAACACATGGGCCAATCGCGGTCATCCGTACTTTTATAAGAACGAAATGGCGCTTTTAGTGACATTTTGCATACAAATCCCCATCTCGTAGGGCGCAGTCACCCAGTTTCGGTGGAAGTGCGCGAGTTCGATTGGGATTAAAGTAGGAAGGGAGCGTCTCAGCTTCCTCGGACCACGACCATTCGACTCAGCACCCCGAAGACTACAACTGGTGAGATTTTGATTTTTGCCTTTAACTTCCCCTTTAACGTCTACACCCGTGATGTGAAATCGGTCTCATTGCCAGCGTGCAATTCGCAGACGACATTGCCCTGTATGATTCAAAAACTTCCGCTGGGGAAGTCTCCAAATCCGTCTCTTCAGCTGTCACTGATCTCGCCATAATTATGGCCTAAGTCATGCAGCCTAATTTTAAATGCCTCCAGAAGCCAGGTAATGACTATCTCACCGCAACATGCTGGGCCTGAGGTCTCTATCGTGTGCTGCAATACCTCTCTACTGATAGTGAAGTCTGCGCGGTATCTTGGTGTCTTTCTTGACAACCGCCTGAGTTGGGATGTACACGTCAGCGCCATAGTGACCAAAGTTGGGAGGAAGATTGGCGCCTTGTGGCGAGCCCGTCGATGCCTCTCCCGCAACTCGCGCAAGATATTATGTAAAGGCTATTGTCATGCCGGATATGATATATTATGGTGCCTGCTGCTTCTCTGCAGCCCTCCGCGTGACCCAACTTCAGCGTCTGCAAGCCATGCAAAACCGGGCGATCCGATGCATTGATGGCAGCCCGCCATGTTCCGCGATGCAGCCCCTCCTGGCTGCCAACTCGATTTACCGCGTCACTGAACTTTTTAAACAAAAGCTCCTGATCTTCATCTGGCGGTGTCTAAATGACTCCACTAGCCTTGCTCTAGCCCAGCTTCTCAAACCAGCAGCATGCAGCGGCAGAAGTACGCGCCATCAGCATGCCAATGGTCTGCTCAGCGAGTCGCAGTCGGTGTGGCCAAACGAGATTCGCCACCGCAGGAGCATTGCTGTGGAACAGTTTGCCTAGAGAGGTACGAACCGTATCTAGATTGCAAGATTTTAAGCTAGCCTGCCTTCCTTATGTATGCCTGGAATAGGTTGTGTTTCGTCAGGTTTTGATATGTTCCTTTTCTTCTCAGTATTCTCGCTCGCATAGTACTCCACTTCTATGATAATATTGCCTATGCTGTTGCTCATTAGGATTTTGGCAAATTCTATCCTTCGCTTTCATATAACTGGGCCAGGAACCCGTTTGAACTTGCGAAGTAAAATATAATCAATCAATCAATCAGTCTATGTCAGTATGTGGTTAGTTTGTAGCTAGCGAAGTAACACCTCGTTGGTTCCTAGCTTAGGCTTGGCCGGCTAGGTCCTAGCAGTAGGACGGATCTAGGAGTGATTACACTCTAGTCACGGATTACCTTGATCCTGCCCCCTTTCCCCAATGCTGAGCGCTGGTATCGGTCCCAGTGCCGGGTGACTGGCGACACTTATTAGTATTACATTTTTGTTGCGTTATCGTCGGACAACTACTAGTACATGACTGTAATGTACAATGTTATGTACAAGTCATGTACTAGTATGTATTTCATTATGCTGCCCGGTATCGAGCTTGCGACGGCGTGCAACACTGATACTAGTAGTGTACTTTACTCGTCACTGAGTAGTATTCAGGTTTTTACAGTTCCGTTTCTATGGTTGTAGCCAATGAGCGACGATGTTTGTCTCCATTTGATGTGTCGGGAGGTGTCCGTCAAGAAACACGTTAGCTGTGTTTCCCTTGCGATTGAAGATGATTGTCAGAGTAAGGTTAAAAGCCTAGTGCTGAGAAGCTGCAGCCTATTAACTTTAAAATATTAGGGCAGGTACAAAAATTAATGTACTTGTTGAGGTCTGCTTCCCTTGTGTACGTTTTCGCCTTGAGAAACAGGACCAGCTGCAAGGTTGGTTGGCGTTTCAGGTCTCCCTGCAGACGTTCAAGACAGTAGTGAGTTAAAATAGTTTTGGAGAAGCGAGACAAATTTAGTCCTCGTCGGAGATGGGCAAGGACTTCGAAAAATGCCAATGGTTAGTGCACATGTGCGGCGCGATGCTGTACGACTGCTGTTCTTGACCGCTGGCCGCTCGTTGTCCGTCACCTGGCAACGGCTAGCACGTGCCATGTCTGAAAGTCAGATCATGCGCGACATACCTGTCTGTGTTATTATAATAATTACTGTTACTAGTGTTACTGTTAGTGTGTATCCTTGGTGCCTGGCTGCATATTGGCCTCCAGAGTCCAGGCCGGCAGGGAAGTCGAATGGTCCGCGCGAAGACGAAACTCGTTTTGCTTCTACTACTAGTACTACACTAAGTAAGTGACTTCGTAGTTCTACAGCCGAGCGGTAACGTAATAATAATGCAGTGGACGAACATGATCGATGTTTCGGACGTAGATTCTACGTGCTTGCGGAGGTGCTACCCTACGTTGTCCTAGGTAAGAGCGACGGAGTTCACTAGGATAGGTGAAGTGTGAGATGTGCGCAAAGAACTAAAGTACTTGTACAATGTCGTGTTACTAAACACCCGCCATCTCGCTGGAATCTGCCTCAGCTGGATAGCCACTGACGAGGTTTTCGTGTAACTGTGTCTGGCAACAAATAATTATTATTAATTTTTGAAGATGGACTCAACACTGCAGTGGCAACCAGGATTCTAGGCTTAGACGAGTCAGAGCACGGTTGCGATACATGCATCACTTCGTCTTCTGACTCATTCATTTTAAAGCTGTGTCCATCATGAACTGGCGCGTGTACACCGATGGTTTGCGGTTCATGCGTGCCCAAACGCGTGTTCAGCACAGGCTTTCACAGCCAATTGGAGGGGTAGATTACCATGATTGATTGATTTTTGTTACGTCCATAACCCCAATGGCCAGGAAAGTAAAGTTTCACCACTGTTGTAGTCTTCTGGGTGCAAAGTCGAATGGCCTTGGTCCGAGGAAGCTGAGACGCTCCCTTCTTCTCGATCGAACTCGCACACTGGGTGACTGCGCCCTACCACATTTGTAGATAGGGATTTGTGCAGAAAAAATACTTTTAAACTTCTTATAGAAGCACGGCTGAACGTGAAACTCCCAGAGCCTGTAGCATTCTGAATGAAAATCTTGGTTTGAGGAGGCTGCGATACAGTGTTTGGCCCTGAACGCGGTCGAATATGGTCCCATACCTATGCGCTGTACACCCGTGCCAGTGCAAATAAGTACTGCTTGCACCTTCAGTTGCAAGTACTGTTACAGGATAAGTCTAGTCGCAAGACACCATGTTTGATGGCCCAGAGATTATCTCCTTTCAAGGACGGACCTGTACCGGGTAACCGAACATTCACGAACTGGGTGATGATGCGATTTTTTGATTTATGCCCTTTTCTGCTCTCACTGTCTATACATTTGTCTATATATGCACAACAGTACAGTAGTCAAAAAGCAATGGTAAACCAGATGTAACTCCGAGTTTGGTCAGCGGCTCCTGCACCCACCCAACAACTAAATTTGACTTGTGACTCACGGGGGGTAAAGACCAGTCGTTAGGGAGATAGCGTGAGGAGGTCGGTAGCACACAATATAGATGTAACAAGCTTGCATTTCTCTTCCTCCTTCCCAGTTCAAATGCTGGAATACTATTCTGCTGTTGTTTCTGGGGTTTAATTGCAGCCTCTTCCTGGAAAAGGTGCGCTAACTCTCTGCTTCACCGCCTCCAAGATTTGGAGTAGAAAGCATGCAACAGACGCGGTTTGTACCACTGGTGTCTCTTATCTGCATTGCTACTGTAATGTTCATCTTCTGGACATCACGAGTCCTCTCGAAATGTTCGCAGCGCTCAACGCTCGTGATGGTCAGAGAGCCAGGCAAAGTAAGGGAACAGCGCATTGCCGCCAGGGAGACTGTGTCTGATTCACTGGAAGAATCGCAATGCTTCTCAGTTTGGGAGCTTCTTAACTCAGAGTATGAGCTGGTAAGGTGAAGTGATTATTGTTTTGTAATCGTTTTTCTTTATTAAAGGCTTTGTCTTTTTTGACTATGATTCGAGTTAAAAAAAGGGTTAAATTCGGGAGTGAACATTTGCGGATCCTAGTGGATTGCATTGGTGCCGAGGAGTATGTCACAAGCCGCTTTTAGGTGCTTACTATATGGCGCGCTGACAATGTATTGGTTCATTGGATCCATGCAGACTCACTGCCGCAAGCAGTTTTTCATTGGTCTGGCCATATCATGGCCTTTCGTCCTTCTTGTATGATAATATAGTGGGTACACATGACCTCCTCAGAAGTAAAACATGTGTTGATGACCAACGCGTTAGTCCGGCGATAACCTGACCAACCGGACCGGATCCGACGCGCCTGCCATGTGCTGCACTTGTTACATTTCAACACTACGCTTGATGCAGTGATAGCAGTGTTAGGCCACATTTACACGACAACGATTGAAAAACGGTTTCATTCCGTGTTTGAAACGTTTTTGCTGTGTACACGAAAATGATAAGCTTTTTAGGTGTTTAAGTAATCGCTCGTACTTTTTCTTATTTCCCGCCACACCATTCTGGCATTTCCATGGCAGCGAAACGTTTTTTCCGTGTACACGAGAACGAAACGGAACGAAAACGATTAAAAAACACTTTGAAGGCCGTTTTTGCTTTGAAACGTTTTTGAAACGTTTTGCAGCATTGTCGTGTAAACGCTTTTAAATCTGTGGAAGCGTGTTCGTTTGAAAACGTTTTTCAATGGTTGTCGTGTAAACGAGGCCTTAGTACACTGAATGCGGGTTTGTGACTGAGTCAATGTGTTTTGCCCAGCCTCTCTTAACACAAACTGATCCGTGGCGTTGTTCACCGTAGAGATTTTATCTTGTGAACGATGACACCAATGTCGTATTCTAACCATGTAGGGTAACAATGTACAGTTCTCGGAGCAGCTCCATATTTGTGCGCTGCTCCTGAGGCTGATAGATAGAAAAATCAACTTGTCTTTCTGCAGTCATAGCAAAATCAGTGACTTGTAATGAAATCGGAATTGTCATTCTCTCCTTCTCGTTGCTCCAGATGCACATTCCATCTTTTTCCTATGATGAGAGTATCTACATATTCAGTACAGCTATGTCAGTTAGGTGAGGATGCCTTGAATTTGATAGCTTGCATGCCGTCCTACCGGTAGGACCCAAGAAATCGCGCTGCAAACGTGCTTTTGGTTGAGAATTTTCTTGAAACGTTTGTTGATGTGAGGTCTTTATAAGGCAAAGTAATGGCGCAAAATGCAAGACTATGTCCAGAGCATTGCATATGTGCAGTTTTATCAATTGTCAAAATGGCCGCACATGAGTCCTGTCGGAGCACTAGCAACTCTGTCCAAAGTGAATTTTGACCATGGCACATCAATCATGGTGAGGTCCTAATGTTTTTCTCAGCCTACCATGGCCGTGGTATGCAAAATTCCATACTCCGTTGCCATGATTACCGTGGGCTATTGCCATGGAATACTGTAATATGCCTTGTACGATCACGTCTAAAATTTGTGGACTCCTTCCCTAGCTCCTTAGAAACAGTTTAGGGTTAAGTTTAGGTCAATGTTAGAACAGAGGCCGTGCAGCATGTCTGTGTATGATGGTCCTATCGGTAGGACCGAGGTCTATGCAAGCTATCATTAATCTTGAACCATTGGTGAATTTCTACATTTCTATACACATTCACAATACATGTACATGTTGTTACGTGTCCCATTACTACGGTTGTGCGATGTGAAGTCCGACCCAGAATGCAAAGCTGGTGGTGCCCTGAACCAGTTGCCATTACGTCACTGCATGTGCACCAGGCTTGTGTACATCGAGCAGCATTCACACCACCTCCAGGGTGTCGAGGGCCGTGCAAATTGAGGGCGCCAAGTATACACTTTGGGTGGAATCAGTGACGAACCTGCAATACATGGATAATACTTGTAGTCGTAGCACAGGGTTCTAGCTAGGAAAACCTGCGGGATGAGTGTGGGTGTTAGGCTGATGTCGAAACTGCGTTTGCCTCCCGTATGGTGATGTGATTTTTGATGGCAACCGAATATCATATGGCTAGGGTGTGTCGGGGACTATATCTGAGGCCCGTTCTGCATTACTTGTACAGTCAGACCTCGCTTATCCAGTCCTCTTTTATCCGGATCCCTCGCCATCCGGAAGAAAATTGTTGGTTACCGATTTACAGCATTTGCCATGCATACACACAGTATGTGTGTTCGATTATCCGGTTCCCTCGCCTATCCGGATATTTTTGTGGAAAACGGATGTGTGCGGTTTTAAGCGAGGTCTGACTGTATCAGGAATGCGTGTTGTCATGACTACCTAGGCTGCTTAGACGAGTTTCCTTACTGACAGTGTTTATGATACAGCTCGTGCATTGTGTGGTTTTTCCAGGGAGCAGAGCGTGTACATTATGCTTCCAAATCCAGCAACAGAGGAGTGGCCAATGAAACATAATTTCAAAAGTGAGTGCATCCTTTCTAGTAAAGTACAATACTGTATCTGACAGGATAGATGCAAGTGGCAGCGGAAGGATTTTTTTCCAGCCATGCTTGATGTGTATGGTGACGTGACGTCATGTCACCATACACATCTGAGGGAAACATGGATGCGGACGGTGGGATTTTCGGTCTTTCACCACTTTGGTGTTGGATCTGATCCGCTACTCACCTCCACCGCTTTAGGAGCTGCATTTGCGCGTTGATCTTTGAGGGCGGGTGGTGTTCCTACGGATGCGGGAAACTCGGTCCAACCAATTCTCTACGCAAACCTTTAGAAGAATAGACAGAAGTCCATGACAGAACTCATCATGGCTGTTATATAGTGAACACACGAGGTCGGGCCTCTTATAGCACACACGAGGTCGAACCTCTCGTTTACACTCAGCACACAACGATAACCAGTTTGTGGAATAGTGATAATTAGAATGAATCAATACGCGGAGCATGCGCCAAAAAGAACAAGGAGCCAGCAGGGCAAGAGAGCAGAAGCCGAGAACAGGGCAAGAGAGCAGAAGAGAACAGGGCAAGAGAGACGTAAGTAGACGTGTGCTTCATGTACTCACTATGTAATGAAATACTAACCATTAAAAGCGTTATGTCAACCACATTCAAATGACAAGTGTTCAAATATTCAAAACTCTCAGTGAGTGAGAACGTCTCAAGAAATGATACAGAAGTGTAATGCAATGAAACTACCTCAATGAATATCTGATACTCTGTTTACTGTGATATACAACAATGGCTGCTTCCTTTGCCTTTCTGAATCCAGGTCAATTTTCATGCAGCTTTGGGCCTGTGTCTCAAGCAGGCAACTACACTCCAGCTCAAATAGTGGATGAAGTTGATGGGTAAGTAGTAGTATGTGAGGTTTCTGCAACAACAAAAGTTCCATGATCCCTGAATTCCGGCAATACACAATGTAGTTCAAGCCCCCCCCTTCAGAAAGGTTCACATACTCATACAGACATGGTAAACTGTGCAATGCACATGCACTCCACCCAGACCAGCAAACTTGTACTAGTGTTGAGTATGAATTAGACCCAATATTCTTCAGACACAATTCACAACAGGACAGGTAGGTGGAACGTCATTTATTAGGGTAGACGAAGAGACGGAGACAAAGACGAACTACTACGACTACATTATGATTATTGACGAGAGCGAGATTAAGTTGAAGAGAGAGAGAGAGCTTGACTGAGGAACAACGCAATATAAAGGGCCTGGGTAAGTATGGCAAACATGGGCGCGCAAGTAGCTACCCAGGCCAACGGAACGAAAGGTGAGTATGACATTTCTTTATTTTTATTTTTTTTCCCTTTCTCTTTTTTCTTTTTGTGTATTTGCAGTCTGTGTTTTCTGTGTTTTTCTCTTTCGTGGAGGCTTGCTTGTTGTATCCTTGGCTCTCGGCCGTTACTTTATCGCCATCATAATATTGGGCACCATTGCCCGTTTGGTCTGCGATACAAAATAAAATTTCAACAACAACAACATAGTACGGGTGCATGCAGGCCGGCCAGCTAAGGAAAGGTTGTAGGTAAGATTGTACGGGAGGAGGTACCTAACACTAGTGTTTTCTTTGGCACCCACTGAGACCTCCCCAGTAGCCCAGTTTGGTTACCAGCAGGGAGGTTTCTGGCCTTCAAAGTTGAGCGGTAGAAATGGGTATGCAAATGTTACTTCAGTAGCTTGCAAACACATAGATCGTACATAGTAAAAGAGAGTATAATGGACTTGTACATGCGTAACAGGCACGCTTGATGCCAACTTGAGTGGCACAAAGTAGGGAAGATGTCTATAGTTGTCGAGAGATGGGGAGATTCTTTTAAAAGGTAACATCCCCTTCAATATTTCCCCCAGTAGGTGCCAAATCTCCCGAAATCCGCCGACTTTTGGGATGTTGGTTTAAGTTCGTTTTGGCAAAACGAACTTAAACCAACATCCCAAAAGTCGGCGGATTTCGGGAGATTTGGCACCTACTGGGGGAAATATTGAAAACATGCCTACACTTAGAAAGAGTTGTGGCAAATAAACATCCTATTTTCTTTGTATTTGTTTGTGCTTGCAGGCATTACTATGTGCTGATTTGTAGGATTCCGCAGCCTCTCTTGGAATGCGTTATCCAGCGAAGCGGTGAGCATGCTCTTCTGGCGTGACTTTCTCTGTTGCAATTTTGTCCAAAATGGTCATCCTTTTACAACTTGATACACCCCCACCCTGAAGTAAAATGTGTGTAGTGTTCTCTAGACATCACAGTAGTACTTGTCTACGTGTCGAGAGCACAACAAACAACTAACTGATCACGGTCTCGTTGTGAAGCAAAGAACCCGAACATCAGTAAGGAAAAGCGCACATTATAATCTGCGTCAAACCAAAGGTGTTAGCTTTCCCACTTACCGTAAAATTCCGTAAATAAGCCCACCCTAAATAACGCCCATGTCCGATAATAAGCCCAGTTTTAGGCGGTGTACACTTCAAGTCCGTTTTAGCGCCCATGCCCGAAATAAGCCCAGGGCGTAAAGTGGACGTAGGAATTAACCGTTGTTAACAGTCACGTACCATTGCTTCGCTGTTGGCCTTTATAACGGGTTGCATAACCCTCCTTACGTGTGTGCACGATCTTGCTCTCTCTACACACTGCTGTGTATCATAGACATCACATGCCCACGCTCTGCGCATGCGCAGATTTCCTGTGCGCACAACAGAGCTTGCTGTCTTTCCAGTTTCCTTGCCTGCAGTCAGCTTTCAAATTCTGACCCACCCTCCTCATCCCATTTCTTACTCTTACACTCCACATATTTTGAAACACACGTATGTGGTCACTCCTCCGTAACTGGCCTCTCGTGCACTACTATTAAACTCGCATGGGCCATAAACCGCTCCTGCTCAACGCAGGCCGACCCACCAACTCGCATGGGTCACAAACCGCTCCTGCTCAGCGCAGACCGACCCACTTGGTCATATACAGCTCCTGCCCTCGGTAGGCCGACCACACAATTCGTTAACGCGCACTCAATTGAGGCCAGCTACTCTGCCCGACATTCCCATTCTTCCAAACTCACTCTCTTGTCTTTTGGTGTGTCGCGTCCTGCACGCGTGTGTGTCTTCTCTATACTCTAGCATGGGGAGTAGAATGTTAGCAGAATTTTACGGTATATTGTACGTTTTTCCTCATGCCCCGCCCCCCTCCCCCTCCTGCTCTGTTTCTACATACGTTGTATTAGGTGTGCATCAGGCATCAGAAACATACATAGCAATGTGCCTGATCGTCAATCTTCATATCTCATCAAATGTCTCAAGGAAAGAGCCACGGTAGGTATTGGAACATGCGCGAATGTGAGTGAGTGCATATGTACGCGCGCACGTGTATGGAAAACCATCACGTGCGATGCAACCTTTTGGACAAACATTCACACACTGTGGCATTGAACCGTCTCGCACCTATTGACTCTTATTCTTGGCAGAACAGTTTGGTTAGAATTCGGAGTAATAATGATTACACAGAGGCGTAGTAGTGTACTAGTAGCCATTTTCAGCCTGCTTCGAAAGGTCATGTGACACGACGTAGTGTACCAAATTCACCCTATTTAAGTATTTTCATTTTTGCAGCCCAGGATACTGGCTCAGCCAGCTCATTTTATTTGGATTTTTTGCGGTAAACTGCACGAGAGAGAATTCAACGAGTCTATATTATCATTCTCCTTTGATCTTGAACTACACTCATGTACAATCGGCTGCTTCTTACAAACATTTTGCTGGAGGCTCCAACATCTTGACTTGCAAACAAACATGCTTCTTTTCCTCGAATGGCAGGGAGCAGCAAGTTGGAACAAAAACTGCACAGTGTAGTCACTTCACACCAGGGAGGAGTAAAACACCAGTATTTACTACTACCTGCTTCACACTGCGCTGCGCCGCATGCACATTTGCATTTGTACGGCAAACTCTAGCTGATTTGTTTGCGAAATTTGCAATACGGCGCTACGCACCTGTTACATGAAAGAAACTGTGGTGGTCTTGCACAGTCCTGGGCTATCCCAATATAAAGCAAAACATGTGAAATAGTAGCCTGGTTTGAGTCCTGGTGGTGACAGTAAACATTTTTTCTTCAGACTATCAACGTGGCACTTAATTAAAGGTGTATATCGGTACCCTGCTGTTTGCTTTCTCCAGCGTTCCACCACTGATAGCCAGGTTTAAAGTCTGCCAGCCAAAACAGCACCGTCGGGATTATTTAGCACTTTGTGCACAGCCAGTAACATCAAGGGTGAGTTGTGTCAAGTCAACTGTCAGCCCTATGTCATACGATACGTTTGGTGATTTTATCCTTTCCATGCACAACGTGATAAGAACACTGAAAGTTAGTTATAAGTTACATGTTGTTGTTCACGTGCAACAGGTTTTTAAATGGAAGTTTCCGGAGGAGGAAGGAGGAAACTGTAGTTATCACCAACCCTCACCGCGCCCAGCTCACACCGCTACGGCGTGCGACCTGAGCTGGGCGCCCTGCCCAGTATGGAACTGTCCTCAAGCCAGTCACGTATTTGGCAGCCCAGTGAGCTGTCTACCGGATCGCAGCGTTTAGAAGCACCAAATGCGGCAGGGCCAGTCTCAGGCTGGTCGCGTAGGCGGCAGGCCGGCGGGCGACCGGCAAGGCTGCATTCGCATTTGGATCACCGAAGTGATACAGGTGCTTCGACGGCACTCCGTGGCGCATCAAGGAGGCATCTGGGGCCCAGGCAGCCCGCCCGTAAGCGCACCACCGTATCAGGTATGTGCAGGTGGAGCAGCAGAGCAAGATGTGTGCCGGACACTCACCATCATCCGGTCGACTGCATGGTTGTGCGACTTTACACAGCCGTCACTCATTACTTGCTATTGCTTGCAGAAGGCCAGAATTTTTTTTCTTTTTCGCTCTTTCCCTTCTTCCAGGCACGGCTTCATGTTAGAGCAGTAAATTGCAGTTAGGGACTCAGCTGAGTCAAGTTTGGCATAATACAATAAGCGCGCTATCCCCAAACAGTTGTGTGGTTATTGTGTGAGTGTATATGCAGGAGTCCGCGGTCACGTGAGGGGGGAGTGATAAGCTTCTTTACACTCATGCCGCGTATGGTGTCAAGCACCGATGCTAGCTGACCTTCGACCAGTCTCACCAGCCAGGTGCAACAGCGGTGTGCATGTGTTTGTGTGTGCGCATGTGGATGTGTGTGTGTGTGTACGTGTGTGTACGTGGGTGCGCGTGTGTGTGTTTGTGTGTGCGCATGTGTATGTGTGTGTATGTGTGTGTGTGTGTGTGTGTGTGTGTGTGTGTGTGTGTGTGTGTGTCCCATATGATGCTGTGGTATGTGCAGTCAATTTCCAATCGAGAGGTTGCGGGTTCAATTCCCGACGATTATGGTCGCACGCGTCTTTCTTCTCTTTCTCATTCTCCTAGCTCTTCTTTCATTCTCCTGGGTGGTTACCAACAGCCAGTGTATGCCGGAGTATATGGTGTGGTGTGTGTGTCGAAAAAGAAGAAGAAAAAAATGGAAAAATGAAGAAATGAAAAATAGGGATTCACCGGCCATAAAAAGCCACTTCAATCAGCTGTGTGGTGGATACCAGGCTAAAATTAGTGGCGGTCAATTCATCAGCCTTGCAAGCTGTTGAATGGTGTAATCCCAGCACAAGTTGCTATGTCTAACATAGCTGTTCGCTATCATCGCTTCCGCAATGGGCATGTGTGTGTGTGTGTGTATGTGTGTGTGTGTGTGTGTGTGTGTCCGCATGGCCAGAAAAAGCCACTTCATAGCTGTGTGGTGTAGACCAGGCTGGATAGTGGTGGTCAATTCTTCAGCCTTGCAAGCTGTTGAATGGTGCAATCCCAGCACAAGCTGCTATGGCTTCTGCTGTAGCATCGCTATCATCGCCTCCGGCGATGGGCGTCCAATGGTGTCCGCATATGCATGCATGTGTGTCACCGTGTATCACGGTGTAGGAGTGTGTAGAAGTTACACCCATCCACCCGGTCTGTCTTCGTACTTATTAAAGTACTAATAGTTGATGCCAACATGGTGCTGTGGTTAGGATGCAGGATGTGGATGCTACCATATTCTTTCCATAGTCATTGTGTTACGTGCATCTCTGGCATGGAAGGAAGTGATGCGGTTATGCTGAAAGCTAACACGCTCTCCACGGCATGAGAAACAATCATGATGTTCTCTGTTGGCATGTGAGCAATGCTGCATAGACTGAGTGAAACACACATTTTGCCCCTCTCTATAGTGTACACCTGGCTGTGGGGAGCAACAGTGTACTGTGTTCTGCATCAGCAGCAGCAGCAGCAGCAGCAGCAAACATCGCACGGTACTGTCTGGTTTCCCTGTTGCTACTATTTTGTCAGATTTGGCCAATCATAGCACAGTGGCTAGAGTACAACCTAATGGTCGGAGTGGAGCACTTCTACTTGTACAGTGCGACTGGCACACGGGAAGGTCTACAGCACGCCGTCAGGTAATACTGCTTTAGGAATGTGTGTGTGTGTGTGTGTGTGTTTGTGTGTATGTGTGTGTGTGTGTGTGCGTGTGTGTGTGTGTGTGTGTGTGTGTGTGTGTGTGTGTGTGTGTGTGTGTGTGTGTGTGTATGTACTAGTACGTGTGTGTGTGTGCAAGTTGGAGTCATCATGTATGAATGGAATGCCTGTGTTGTACCTGCGCCTGCACGTGTTATCTCTTCGTCGTAGCTGCTGCTGTATTTGTGTCTCTGTGTGTACATGTGGCTGCACGTGTTGTCTCTTCGTCGTAGCTGCTGCTGTATTTGTGTCTCTGTGCTGCTGACCCGTACATGCTGCTGCGCTGCTTTGTTGTTGACACGTGCACCTTTTTGTGCTGAGTACACCACCTTTTGTGCTGACGAGGGCACCAATTTCTGATATCATGTTTTTCCTTTTGCCATGTCGTCGTCAGTTGTCCGACGGTCGTTGTCAGTTGTCCGACGTTCGTCGTCAGTTGTCAGTCATTCGTTGTCAGAGTCAGACGTTTGTTGACAGTCGTCAGTCATTCGTTGTCAGTGTTAGTTCTCCATTATGAGTTCTTCCGTCGCCGCTTGAAGTAAACTATGAAAAGCTCTCTCTCTAGCTCTAGAGAAAAACCACTGACTAGTTCGTTTTGAGGTGTGGCGTGGCGAGGATAGAAGAGGCAGTTCGTTCTCAACCTTCCGAGACGACATTTGGCGCCCAACTAATCGAACCCACGACCCTGAAGCTCGTCGCTCTCCGGCCGGTGTTTTTCGTTTTCCTCTTCGCGTTCTCGCCATGGCTCCGCTTTGCTGCGTCTGTTCAACCCTTTCCTAGATCCTCGGAGCTCCTACTCAGGTGAGCATGCCTTTGTAATTGTCTGCTCTGCGTAATGTGTTGCAATGTTGCCGTACCTTGTATTCGATTTCGAATTTTCAAATAATTGTTTTGCGTCGGGTGACTCGGGTCCCTGCAGGAATTCCGTGGAACCTTGTTCTCTCGTGTTCGAGTGTGTACTCGTAGTGTAGTCTTGCTGCTCGTTGGAAGTTCGCCCCGTTGTGTTAGTTGTGTCGCTCTGACTACCCTGTACTGTACTGTTGTGTATGAAAATTTCAAACTTCTGTTCGTGCGCTACTCGTTCGAATCTGGAACTTGTGTTTGCATGTTCGTCGTGCATTCAGCATGGGTAGCTTTGATCTCGTCTTGTGTTGTGCACTTGTGCTTGTCACGGAGTTGCCGTCGGACTGCTCCGATAGTGTGACTGTGTCGCGTGATTTGTTTAGATGTCCACCTGAACGTTCTCGAGGTGCTGCCTCGTATGTAGTCGATCCATATTGTTTTGTTTCGTGTTTTTACCGTTTTAGTAGTAGTTTCTCCATGTTCTGTGTACATGGTGTAGAGCATTGTCACTGTCAGGCTCGGCCATGCACTGTCAACAAAGTAGGAAAGCTGTTGGCTTCCGGTTTGGTGGGAGGTGTGAACTTCATGTAGGATTCTCGTTCTTGATCCAGGTTGAATTTTGTTTGTGAGCGTATGGTTTTGTAATAATTGTGTTTCGGCATGTGGGTTTCTCTAGTTCGTCTGGGTGGGCGTCTGATCATGGTGAGCCACGGTCTGCTTGGTGGTCTGCAGGGATCCTGCGCTTTTTTGTATCGGTTTGCCTTGCGGGTGTTATGGTTTCCGTGTGTTGCTGGCTGGCCCTTGTGCGTCCCAGTCGGTGCCGGACAGTTTTTTTTCTTCGGTTTTCGGTTTTGTGAGCGGATGTACTATAAGTTCCGTGTTATTCAGGTTCGATCCCTGCGGGTTTTCAGGTTCAATCCCTGTGGTTTTTTTCAGGTTCAATCCCTGTGGGTTTTTTCAGGTTAGAGACCTGTGGTTATTCAGGGTAGCGCCCTGTGGTTTTTCTTCATTATCTTTTGCGTATTGGTAACCGATTTGTTTGTGTGTCCTCAATGGTGTCCTCACTGATTAATTGCTCCTGTTTCAATTGACGTGTTCTTCCTGGCTGTTCTTCCCTTCCTTCGTGTGCTTTTCTGATTTTTGGTGATGGCTGAGATGTTTGCGTCAGTCCTTCTCTCTTTCTGTGTGTGTCCTGTGATTCTCGGAGTTTCTGTAGCGCCATCGGTTTTCGGACAGCCGGCCAGTGTGCGTCCTGCTGCCCCAGTCTTCTTCTCGGTCGGTGCGTACTGTCGGTCTCGCCGCTCCTGGAAGCGTCGCTGGGTCCGTCGGCATAACCTGTTTTCTCATGCATTTGTACTTTTGTTTTGTCATGACTGGTGGATGGGTGGCGTACTAGGTTGGTGCTGTTCTAAGAATAAAAGATCCAAAGGGACAAACACAGGTCGAACAGCTCGCCAGCCGGGTCCTCTGCAAAAATCTGTTGCTTGCAGGTTCCGTTGATGGTGCACAGTTTTGCGGGGCTCCCGACTGGTGTTAACCCTCCTGGCCTACTCGTCATGCGTTCAACAGTTGTGGCCCACCTCTTTTGTGTTTTATTGTCGCCTGTTTATGTTGCTTCATATTTCATTTCCCCTGTCTTTCTGTCTTCTTCTCCGGTCTGTCTTCTTCCGTTTTTTATACACTTCACTTTTGCTTCCATCCACAGGAGTGGATGTCTTTTTTTGGTAGGGGATAGTGTTGTACCTGCGCCTGCACGTGTTATCTCTTCGTCGTAGCTGCTGCTGTATTTGTGTCTCTGTGTGTACATGTGGCTGCACGTGTTGTCTCTTCGTCGTAGCTGCTGCTGTATTTGTGTCTCTGTGCTGCTGACCCGTACATGCTGCTGCGCTGCTTTGTTGTTGACACGTGCACCTTTTTGTGCTGAGTACACCACCTTTTGTGCTGACGAGGGCACCAATTTCTGATATCATGTTTTTCCTTTTGCCATGTCGTCGTCAGTTGTCCGACGGTCGTTGTCAGTTGTCCGACGTTCGTCGTCAGTTGTCAGTCATTCGTTGTCAGAGTCAGACGTTTGTTGACAGTCGTCAGTCATTCGTTGTCAGTGTTAGTTCTCCATTATGAGTTCTTCCGTCGCCGCTTGAAGTAAACTATGAAAAGCTCTCTCTCTAGCTCTAGAGAAAAACCACTGACTAGTTCGTTTTGAGGTGTGGCGTGGCGAGGATAGAAGAGGCAGTTCGTTCTCAACCTTCCGAGACGACACCTGTGTGCGCATATTGTTCCTTACTTTTTAAAGGCTAGAACATAATCTATTCTAATCGTTGTACATCCTGCACACGTTTCTTCTCAGGCAGTGTCTGGTAGCTGTCACCTCAGTCACCTCAGTCAGCAATAGCTAGGGTTCTTCGTCACCGGAATGCATGCCCTATACTGAATATATATTCGCTAGCATGTAATCCTGATAACAGTGCAAGTATTTCTGGGTCCCAAACATTCGTGTCAATTTTTAAGCGGGCTCCATTGTCTGTTGTTTCACCACAGGCCATACTTTGACTGTTGTTTCAACACAGGGTACACTTCGACTGTTGTTTCAACACAGGCCATACTTTGACTGTTGTTTCAACACAGGCCATACTTTGACTCAAGTCAGGTAACCTTCAAGTCATGGATGGCACAGCATTGGCCAGGTAACTGTACAGAAGCTGAAACACGCACATGCATGCACCAACTCACGCACATGCACGAACGCACACACACACACACACACACACACACACACACACACACACACACACACACACACCTTTGGACCTTTGGATGCCCATTGCTCCGTGCAATGATAGCATCAGGAGCTGCAGTATTTCCTGTGGCGAGTTAGATCGTTGGGCCGACGGAAGTCCCTGCCACAGCCGCAAATGAACACTCTAGGTTTTGGCACAGCCGGCCGGGGACGATTGCACATGAGGCGCCAGTCTCGTCTGTCCTGCGCCAATTCACACCAGTCACCTGTCACGCATCGAGCACTCAGATCAGCAGCGGTGATGTCCCTCCTACGTTTCTTGGGATCGTGTCTGGGCCTGGTGTTGAGTCCCTCAGCACACACACACACACATATACACACACACACACACACACACATACACACACACGCCGAATATGCACACACACACACATACACACAAACACACACACACACATACGCACACACATATACGCACATGTGTGCGCACACATGCACCATGTCTCTCCGCTTCATCGAAAAATGTTGCTTTACTTGAACTGGTGTGACCGCAGCGTGAGTGTATTATAAAACGTCCTGTTGGGCACCAGCCACCATTTGAAGGCGCACACTCTTTTTATCCAGTTTGATATCTCATGTACATGTGTTGATAGACTCAGGCATTCAACCTTAGATGAGAAAGGGTTCCATCGTTTTTTGTACATCAAAATGAAGCAAGACTTGAAACGTGTCTGAAACTCAAACATAATTTCCAGCGAACATGAACCAGATAACGAATTGAATAAGGCTGGGCATGTACTACTAAAACATTTATATTGACATCCGCTCTTTCTTTTCAATTTGCACACTCCGTTTCAGCTCTTTACACATTATTTATTTCTCGAACCTCACATAAGACCATAGCCAGTGCAGGGTTGGCTGCGGACAGCCATATTACGTACACCTGTATTTCCTGCTCACTGTGTCCCTCAGGGAGAAGAACAATTTTCCGACAGATTGTAGCTCAATGCGACTGCTTGTACTCCTTGAAGGTTTGTGCTGCATCTTGTTCATCTCATTGCACCATTTCTTCAGCTGAGACTCGGCTGATCGCTGATCAGAGTTTAAGAAATAACTTTTCATCTACATGTGCGTAACCTGCTGTCACTACCCGTCATGTCCTGCTCTGCACAGTGTGAAACATGTGTCCATGGCTATTGCTCAGCTGAGTAGTAGCAGCTTTCAGAGTGATCAAATTGGTGAATATAAATGCACTGGCCCCCGCTAGGGAAACTTCAGAAACTAAAGTGTTTGGTGCTTCAAAAATTGCTGTATTAGTGTTCAGGAATGATCAGTTTCTGGCAGTCCGTCTATTCCGATGCGACTGTGTGAATGGAAGGAGTGGTTAGAAGTGAATCACATCAGGGAGAGAATAGGATGCCCTTCACAGCCCTTTCAGCCAATACTGTTGTTTTTTTTGAAGAATTTAACCAGCTTCCAAGAACTTCCGCTTCAACTACACAAACAGAACAAGTCTGTAATGATCAATGTGACTCTCATTTCCCCTTGCACAGGATCATGCCAAGTGGATATTGTTTGTGGACGTTGATGAATACGTACTACCAGCGCCTCAGTTCCGGGATGTAAAGAGTTTCCTGCGCAACTTCACAAAGTTTGCAGCTATTTCCATGAAGTCTTTCAACTACCAATACCCTCCACAACATGGTGAGTTGCCGTTGTAGACCCGCTGTATTGTGTTATTCCAGATATTATGTGTGGTAGATTGTAGATGAATGTGCATGTAATGAACTGATTGAAGCGTCCTATCTTGTCATGTCCGCAGGAAACGACAAACAATATTTTACACAGGAGCTCTTTCTTCCTGCCAAATGACTAGCACTTGACTCAGACTGACTCACGACTGACGTCTGAAGCACACGAGAAGAATGTCGAACCGTCCACTTAGTGACCTGCAAGGTTTGTGACATCTCAGTGGAGGTTTGTGCTGCTGAAACAAGCAAGTGTGCGTTTTGGACAAGTCTACTTACCCTCAACCTGGTGAATAATGACCTCGGGTATAACAACACACAACTGAATAACAACACAATACTCAGACCTAGTGACTGCGTCCTTTCAACCTCACGGATAACAACATGCAGATAACGACTCTCTTCTCATTCATGGTTGAGGGTCATTGCTCGCAACATTGACTGTACAACAATAGGAAATCAGTTAGGGACCAGGCAGTGGCTACATCTCACCATCCACTATCTACCAGTGGAAAAGACTCATTCAAAAATCGAGTCATGTATCCTAGCGTACTACTACTAGCTAAACCACTTCTTGGATCTCGCCACCCAGGCCCTGTGTCTCACCACCCCTGGAGCTCACAACCCCTGGGTCCGAGTCATCAATCCTGGATCTCATCACCTCTGAATCTCATCCCAGACTCTGGGTCTCATCACCACTGTGTCCACCACCCTGGGTCTCACGACCCCTGGGTCTCTTATAACCCCTGGCCCTGGGTCTCATGCCCCCTGGGTTCCACCATCCCTGGGTCTCACCACCCCTGGGTCTCACCACCCCTGGATCTCATCACCCCTGGGTCTCACCAGCCCTGAGTCTTACCCCCTCCCCCTCCCCCCAGGGTTTCACCACCCTTGGATTTCATCTGCCCCTGGGTCCCATTACCCTACGATACATCACCCTGGATTTCTTTACACCATTTCCCATCGCTATGGGCCATAGTTTACTATCTATATACAGTAAGGAAATTATGCCGCCATGCATTGCTACCTAGCTACAGAAAGTAGGAACTGCAGAAGTCTGCTACTGTATGTCCAGTGGTGCCATGTGAAATCCCTTTCCCTGGACCACAGCTTTATAATGTAAAGTTGTACTGTGTTGGATTTCACCTATCATCACTGCATGAGTAAATGTACAGAGGGGATAGGTACAATCCGGGCCACCCCCTGCGTCACAGCTTTACAAACTATGATGCAGGATTGGATTTCATCTGGCCCTGCCCTGCATGCGGTGCACTCATTTTTTGCTGTGACATCTATGTTCTGGTGTTTACCTAGATGCCTTGCTAATCAGCAGTACACGCACTGCTGTCAATCCAGATCCGATCCGTTTCAAATACTTCTGCCAGACAGCCAAAACAAAGTAAGCCACACGTCCCTCATGATCATTGTACACCGGTTGTAACTGCTGTAATACCACTTTCCCCTTTTTATGAAGTATTTCTTCCACCGTCTGTTTCAAGTGTTCCCATTAGAGCAAACAGAAGCACTTGAATCAGTAGGCCATGGGACCGTGGGTCCAAAGCGCAGCATGGTTGGAAACATTCTTCCTTGCCCAAGCAAAACACGAACGTGGTGCTACCGTTCCTCGATCAATACCACTCATATTTTCCAGCATTGAGGTAGCAGTGCATGTATTCACCTGTTTGTGTGGTTGTCCGTGCCTGTGTATAGAGCTGTGACCGTCCATCGCATCAGTTTACCCAGAGAACGAAGTGCGACCATGATTGCACCGGAGGACCAACTCAGGGTGAATCACTATCGGCATTTGTAAGTGCAAAATAAATGTACTTCTCACTTCACAAATAAACAAACTGAAAGTTGCTGCTCACCCTCCTGACATTATGAATTTTACTACAGCATACCAAAAAAAAACATCTGACCAGTTTGATGACCCTGTGCGAAACGAAGGCGGTGTGTATGATCCCAAAGTCAAAGTGCAGAAATACTGCTAGACCGCATGCAGTCACAATTATGCCTGGGGCTGTACATTCATGCAATACATTCATCCAGTGGAATGAAACCTTGGTCTTCCTCAGTGATATGACTCCCATCAATTATTCAACTCAAGCTAATGATGCCACTAATCCATGCTCAGTCCTTGTCCCTGTGTTGTCCTGTGCAGGCCTGCAAACATATTCACGGCCAATGATACTACAATGCCGGATAGATCGCTCAAAGAACTTACGCAACGGATTCATACGCGCCGAAGCGGTGTGGGATAGTGTGAGATAGACCTAACCTTTGAGCTACGGAGCAAGCTACTAACATTACACACTGGTGGATGCACCCCTACAGATTTATAATAGTCTACTCTCCGCTAGTGATCTGCTACGGCTAGTATGGCAGGCCAGCATACTTGAAGAAAAACCGATATAACCCCTATTACAGGGTGTCCCCCCCCCCCCCACACACACCCTCAATCTTTTATTAGTGAATTATTACATTAGGCCATGTAAATATCTTTTTTTTTCGTCAGATTTCCCCGAGAATCGGAGTGGACAGGAGATTTGTTTGCATGTACGGCTGGAATAGGTGTTTGCAACCCCAGACATGTCCTTTCCTCACTTTACTATTATTTTTCGAATCCATTATATATTTGGGCGCAGAATGAGATGAGTTCTATTCATGTGATAACTAAAACCTCAGTTAGGATTAAAAAAAGAAAATCTGGCAGCTGATCTATTCACTTTTTCAACCCCTAGCGCCTATGGCTCAATCTCTGGACTTGGCCTTCGAAATTCTGCAGCTACATGTATATGTACATGTACGGTACCTATATGCTGTGAGTAGAGGCTGCACCTACAGTACTTGACAATTTGACATGACTGTACCGGTACTAAAAATTATAATTTGGCCGGGAGCAGAGAGTAGGTTTTTGGTATTTTCCTACTCCCTGGCTAGCCGGGAGTAGCGGTGAGCGGATCATTCTCGGAACATTTTTGGGAATACTAGCGTGGACAAATTCTCATTCGCAGTGAGACCCCGCGACCCATTTTCTGTCCCCGGGGAAAATTGCGATTCCGCGGCCGCGTTTTTTTCCGCGTTTTTTGCGATTTTTAAAAGACCGCGTTTTCCGCGATTTTCCCTCGTTTTTTGAACTTTTTTGTTGCACTACACGTACACACAGTGCACTGTTCGGTCAGCAACGTGTCATCGTGGCGGCTTTTTACTCAAATATGACGAGTGCTTACACCAGAGACTTGTAACTGATTGATTTCACTACATACTCACTGAAAATTGCCGCACATCAATGTTATTCACCGCATATTTACCGCATATTTACCGAAAACTCACCGCAAATTATGCCATATTATGCCGCGTTTTTCCCCGCGTTTTTTGCGATTTTTTTTCGCAATTTTCCCCGGGGACAGCCCATTTTGATGATAACTTTAGTTTTCCTTGAGAAATGTTGGCAAACTTGGGCTTTTTAGAAAGCTTGAGGCATGAGGAGTTCTCTAGTAGAAGCAGTTTCTAGCCTTCACTTGTAAGAGGAATAACTATCCATCTCCAATTCCATTATTTTATTTTTTGAAGAGAAGTTGAGCTCATCGACATGTGGACTACTTTTAGTCTTAAAATTGTACTTTCATGATAACAAATGTACTTTTAGTCTTAAAACTGTACTTTCATGATAACAAATGTGTTGATTGACAGCATGTTACAAGGCGGAGGACACACCGTGTTCGGAAACAGTGCCCCTTACTACAAACATCCATGGTTGGCAGAGCCCCGGGCTTGCGACCATTTGAACCAGGGAGTAGTAAAATACAGTATTTTACTACTCCCTGATTTGAACCGTAGATCTACGGGTGTTAGCCCTGGTTCTGACCCTCAGTATACTAGGGAGTTGTTTCAGTGTTCTGTTTTTTTTTGTGTTATTGTACTGTCAGTCGTGAATTCCTCGCTCGTTCTTGGATGTCTTCTTAATTAAAGCATCTTGATACTTAGTCCGTTTAAACTAGCATTAATTTTGTTCTTGTCACGTGCTGTCAACCAACAAGATACTTCCCGCAACAAAACAAGGCTTATTTTATACCGTGTAAAGTACCATAAGTGCACCATCGACGAATTAGCGCTAAGTTCAGTTATAAAGGAAATCATCGAGAAGAAGAAGGGGGCGACATAACAATGCTGAAAATGCTGTGGTTCATGAATGTTAGGAGGATGAGCCTGAAGATGTAAGTTAGGTAAAACGTGAAAGTGAGAGAGTGTTGTCATGTGCTCCTTCTGAGTGCATTGCGGCCCAGCGCACAGCGCACTGAAGCTAGCACATGTACAGGTAAATATAGCACATAGTCATTGAGTGGAACAAACGGCGAGTTGACAACAACGATGATCATGCCTAGGCAAGCAGTGAGGCTAGCAGTGAGCGAGAGAGTGTTGACTGCTGGTGGACGTCAATTAGTTGCTGTATGTAGGTTTTGCAAGAGAAAGTCTTCAGTTCTTGTTCCATTGTTTTGTGCCGTGGTGTGGTCTGCAGTTGAAGGTCTTAGAAGCCTTTTTCGCTAAAAATGAGAACGGGCTAGGCTAGAACCCAACGTTTGTATAAGCCCAATTTGTGTATACAGAAAGACAGCACAGAGGCGAATAGGCTTAGGTTCTGCGAAAGTGCTCAATGCCTGATTCAGCAGAGCGGTGTACACAAACTTAGGTAGTTAGGGATCGTTGTCTGATGATTGGTTCAGCCATGAAACTCTTGAAACGGAATTTGCCAAGGTTTTCAAGAACGAAGTGCGACCATGCTTGCACCGGAGAAACAGCTCAGACTGAATCATTATCGTCATCTGTAAGTGTATCTTACTGCCGGTATAATAATGGTGGTGGTGGGGAGCCCGGGGACTCAGGATCATGGGCCGCTCCACGTTTTGCTACTATTGATGTGTGTGATTTCTCCAAATAGACTAACATGCATACAGTGAATCTGATGTCTTCATGTTACATGGGTAGTGGCACAGTATTTCAGCCTGACTTCATGTATACATTAGTACATAGGTAGAGGTACTCAGTAGTACATGACATTGTAGTCATGAAGTCAAGCGAAGCCATGACATTTTCATGACTTCGCTTGACTTCACGACTCTACATGTGCTCAGAGAAAAGTGGCATCCCTGCAGCCCTACATCCCCATATGGCCATGTATCCCTGCAGCTGGTGACCCATCAGCTCACATTCTAAAATAATTTATGGAGTTTTGTACTGGTCACCATGGTAACATTGACCTGTAAGCGAAACATTGCACTGGCCTTGCTCAGTGCCACTTACATGCATCTCGTAGGCAAGCTCTCTCTCTCTCTCTCTCTCTCTCTCTCTCTCTCTCTCTCTCTCTCTCTCTCTCTCTCTCTCTCTCTCTCTCTCTCTCTCTCTCTCTCTCTCTCTCTCTCTCTCTCTCTCTCCCTCCCTCCCTCCCTCCCTCCCTCCCTCCCTCCCTCCCTCCCTCCCTCCCTCCCTCCCTCCCTCCCTCCCTCCCTCTCTCTCTCTCTCTCTCTCTCTCTCTCTCTCTCTCTCTCTCTCTCTCTCTCTCTCTCTCTCTCTCTCTCTCTCTCTCTCTCTCTCTCTCTCTCTCTCCCCTTTGAAATTCGTGTCCACAGAATTGGGCACCATTGCCCGTTTGGCCTTGCGAAGTAAAATAAAAATCAATAACAAACAACAACAAGCAAGACATGGAGACTATGCCACTAATCCATGCATGCTCAGTCCTTGTCTCTGTGTTGTCCTGTGCAGGCCTGCAAACCAGTGTCCACGCCCGACGATACTACAATGCGGGATAGATCGCTCAAAGAAAAAAGAAAAAAGTTACTTACGCAACGAATTCATATGTGCCGCGGTGGTGCGAACTAGTCATTGCTGGAGGTATATCATTGGCGAGCCTGAGTCTGCCCTCATCATACTACAAAACAACCTCCAATGGAACTCACATGTCACGCACATAATAAACAAATCCAAAAAACTCCTTCACCAACTTCGTAAAACACGAGGCCAACTTAACACCCCCAGTTTGCTCGTAATCTACACCGCCTACATTCGCCCGGTTATAGAGTACGGCAGTCTCGTGTTATCCAACACCACCCGCACACAGAAGGACCAATTAGAACGCGTTCAGCGACGAGCAGCCCGTTATCTGCTTGCGGATCCCCCTTTTTGCACCAGTCCATCACAGCTCACTTCTTCATCATCTCCAACTCCCCACATTAGTCTCCTGGCAACTCTTACGACAGGTTACTCTTGCCCACAACATCAAGTACATCCGCGCTCCCCTTCACCTGCAACAGCCTCACCTTGCACGACCAATCACAGAGCAGCCATATGCACTACGACACATGAGAACATACACATTGAGAACATCACACACATACCGACACACCAACTCACCCATCAACCTGTCCCTTCACAATTTCAACCAACTACCCCCCAACCTGCGTGAAACAAATAGCAAGCATGCGTTTAAATCAATGGCGTCTACCCTCATTCTATCATCCATATGCTCCTGTAGTAGCTCACACTGTACCCCATCGTAACCCCATCCCCCTCCAATGTGTTGCGGGTTTCCTTACTTGCTAGACTGATTTTATATGATTCTGGACTGATTTGAATCATATTATCTTCCTTATTGGCCATGGGCTATCGTGGACATAAAGAATAATGATACACTGTACACTATTCAGCCATAGCCCTGCAGTCAAAGCTGCAATGGAGAGCAACCACTGGCGAATCGATTATGTCTTATATAACACTACAAGATGGTGGAGCTTGTGGAAAATGATTGCGGCGGATTCAGCGGCTGATTGAATATGTGCAGCCGTTCTTCCTTTCTGACCCAAACCGAGAGCATTATGTCTTATTATGATTATAGCCCTTAGGCCTTAACTACCAAGCAAGGCTTCTGTATATACCAAGTACAACGTTGTAGTACTGTATGAAGCATTATGACGTAGTCAGTTTTGTACCCTGCCTTGCTAGTACTGTATGAAGCATTATGACGTAGTCAGTTTTGTATCCCTGCCTTGCTAGTACTGTATGAAGCATTATGAGGTAGTTTTTGTATCTCTGCCTTGCTACAATTGTAGTACTGTATAGTAGTAGTACTGAATTGTAGCTGACTACTTGAGAACGGTTTTATTCACAACACCATGAAGTAAGAGTCAAAGCAAAAAGACAACCCTATTTCGGAAATAAATGACTACTACTACTACTCATAAAAGGACACACTTCAGGCTCATTCCGAGCATCTTGAAAGTTGTTGTCTATGTTGTAACCTCAACCGCATGTATTCATCGATGTCTTGATTGTATAGCCCTCTTGGCTAATGAATCCTCACTTCTCTGTGTTCAGGTCTAGGTGCTGAAAGCATGGCCCTGTAGGCCCCGTAGGCATTCTACCACCCAGCTCTATTGTTTGTTTGTTTGTATACTTTATTTGAATTCGCAAATCCAAACGAGCACAAATGCTGAATGACAAGGCAGCGAATATGTTATTATGTTACAGGGAAGGAGGGTTGGGGAGAAAATAAGGAGAAAAAAGAGAGAATGGTAGATATCTCAATGAAGAGCGAAGCGTTATCAAACTACAAGTAAGCCAGCGAACGATAAGTCGATAGTTCTGTAACCCGCCTAATAAACTAAGTACTTTTTTCAGGCGTGCAGTGGACTGTCATTAAAACAGAAACAGTAAAAAATAATAATAAGGCACCCATTTTGTTAGTCCAGGGGATGGCCCACGCCTGGTAAAGAGAATAAATACAGAAAATAAAATTAAAATAAAAAATAAAATAAAATAAACAAACAAACAAAGTACTGACAGTTACTGCTAACGAGAGTACTTGCTACTAACATCGGGAGGATAAAAGGCCCAACCCTGCCCTGCCAGTTACGGACTTACGGGGGTCGCCATGGCAAATAATAATGGTAAACAGTGAAAATCAATCACAGACAGGAAGCTGTCTCAGGACAAGTTTCTAATCATAACATCAGGAAGATCGGAGGGTATACGGTACGACGGCAGCTTTGAAGCTGCTGAGAGACGACAGTACTCTGACTGCATCCGGTAGGACGTTCCAAAGGGCACTACCTCGCTCGGAAGGCAGGGCGAGATCGTCCGGCGCGGGTTCGTGTGGCTGGTAGACGGAGCCCCAGGGCGAGATCCAGGCGCGTCCTACTATCCGCGCAGCGTACGAAGAGCTCCTGGAGGGATGTACTCGAACTGGCGTGTATGCACCTCCAGACAAAGACCAGGACCTTCTGCCGATGTACTTCTCCAATCCTGAACACCTGCATGCGTTCCAGGAGATCACTGGCACGAGAGAACCCCGGCCGGCCATAAACTGCTCTTGCCCCACGGTCTTGTGCTACTTGGAGCCGGTCGGTCTGGGCCTGAGTGAGACCTGGGCTAAACGCAACGGACCCATACAGTAGATCCGGCATGATAGCTGCCTTGAAGAACAGCACACGGCTAGCAAGTGTTAGCGACTTTCGTGTCCGCCACAGAGTTCCAATTTTCTTATTGGCTTTCGTGATGCTCGCATCGACCTGAGGCTGCCATGACATGCGTACATCCAAGATGATGCCAAGGTAGCGGGCACTGGTGACGCTTGGCACGGGTATGCCATC